GCATTGGATGGGGCCACCCTTGATATTTTGATTCAGACCCACCAGCTTCTAAATATCACCAATCCCCCATTAGCTCAGGATTGTTGGCTCTGCCTTAAACAGGACCCATTTGTTCCCTTGGCAATTCCCCTGCCTAATATTAGTTTTGATTCTGATAAAGCTAATTGCTATATTTTTTCCCCTATTCTAATAGTTTTGGAATCCCCTCTTCCTTACAATTTTATCCCCCAATGTATTTATAGTATGCCCTTCAATGATAGTTTTGATATAGATGTGGGATTGATTACCTTTGTCAAGTATTGTTATTGTCAAAATATTGTTGATCGCACAGCCCTATGTTCCGGAAACTCCTTTGTATCTGTTTGTGGAAATTCTTATGCATATTCCTTTTTACCTCAAAACTGGACAGGTACATGTTTAAGCGCTACTGTTTTACCTAATATTAATATTATCTCAGGAGATACCCCTGTCCCAATTCCCACCTTTGATTTTATAGCTGGAAGACCCAAACGGGCTGTACAGCTCATTCCCTTAATGATTGGTCTAGGAATTTCTACGGCCATTGGCACTGGGACCGCCGGCCTAGGTGTCTCCTTGCACAAATATGCCAAATTGTCTCAATAATTGATTGATGGTGTTCAAACCTTGTCTGATACTACGCAATATCTGCAAGATCAAATTGATTCCCTTGCAGAGGTTGTCCTTCAAAATAGAAGAGGTTTAGATATGCTCACTGCCGAACAAGGAGAAATCTGTCTTGCCCTCCAAGAACAATGCTGTTTTTATGCAAATAAGTCTGGCATTGTTAGGGATGAGATCAAAACCTTACAGGAAGATGTAGAAAAACGCAGAAGGGAATTATGCGAAAACCCCCTCTGGACTGGGCTCAATGGGTTTCTACCTTATCTCCTCCCTTTATTGGGGCCCCTATTAGGGCTCCTGATATTATTAACCATCGGGCCTCTAATAGTTAAGAGGCTTACGGCCTTTATTAAACAACAGATGGATACCATGCAAGCCAAAGCCATTCAAATCCATTACCATCGTCTTGATCTGGCCGATCAGGAGGAAAATTACTTGCAAATCCGAATGTCTATGGAGACTAGAGGATAAGCCTGACGTCTGAGAGGTTCAAAAAGAGAATATTGCCAAGTCCTTACAGTCACAGTTACTGGAGAGCCTTGGAATGTCCCTGAACTTTTCTAGAAACTTCTCCTCTCTTGCTACAGTTGACCCCAATGATGGGTAAGACAGTCAAGGCCTGACTGATCAACCTAAGACAGGGGCTTCTGTCGAGATGTCAAGGCCATCTTTTCCTCTACAACCTGCCTCTCTGACACCCCTCTACACGGCCTCCCCTCATTGACTTGCATGATATATATTTCTTCCTCAATTTTTATAATAGAGAAGGGGGAGATGTGGTAGACTAAGCTGCTAGCCTGTCCTAAGTAAAAACCAAACAGCCTCCATGTTGACCCGCTGATCACCCCACCACCACAGTTGTGTCGTTACCCATGACAACGGGTTTGCGCAGACAAGTGACCTGATCCGTTACATAGTAACATTGTGTTATACTATTGTTACATTCTCCTCCCAAAGTTTATGGTTAACTATTTCCTCTTACAATTT